AGTTTTTCCTAAAACAAATGCAATGACATTACTATAAACAAGCTAGCCAACCGAGTGAAGAGCATGACACAAAATTAATGGGCATATTACTCACCTGAACTAATGAGACGATTAGTGGCACCAACAGCGCATGATAATCAATCGCTTTAACAGCTATAAACTCATGTGCCAATTTCTCTATTCTAGCCACTATTTGCAATATTAGTGCATCCCCGATACAGATATGTAAGACCAAAAAGGGTGTAGTAACTCTCCATTTTCCGTAGAGAGTATAAGCATAATACTGACCCATATATTAACCTGAAAAAAAGTAAAAATGCTTACCTCACGAATCCTTTGCATTGAAGGTGCTGTTTTTTTGTTCAATAGCTCACTTCTCTTGCCACAAAGGAGTTGCAGAACAGAACCTTCCTTTTGAAGCATCTCCATTATGTCCGCAGCTTCTCGCCGTTTCTGGTTCACTGTTAGGATCCAATCTGCCCACCCTTTTTTGCTTGAAAAATCTTAAAGCAATAGAAGTGGGGCCGAGTTTTACTGAATGTTAAGATGGTGATAACATCAGAAGTTGGGGAATTACCTAACAATAGACCTTCCTGCGGGATAAAATAATATGCCTCATCATTGGGAATGATTTGATCCTCCATTTCCATTATTTTTAGCATGTCCATAGACCTGTCAATATTCTCTACATTGCTATCTTCTCTGCAATTATTATTTATACAACGATGGAAGGATTTTCGAAAGCTGGGTGGCTCCTAAACACCAAACACACGAGGGGAATAATTTCAGCCCGCAATCCGCAAGAACATTATCTGGCATAGTACGGAGCTTCAACGCAAATCCCGTAACCATATCAACATGAATTTTGGCCAGACAACCACGTCTTGTTAGTTCCGAAAATAAGAAATGGATCTCTTCTAGGTGCCGTCTACACTCGGCGTCAACAGAGACAATCTAGCAATTAGGGGAAAAGCGGCATGGTCCAGTGCCACCTCCTCTTCCAAATCCATCTTCAAGGACTTTTCGTGTGGCCTCACTGTCCAGAGGCTTCCAAGAAGACTTCACTATCATGCCGGCCCTCTCATCATCAATTCGTAGCTCATTCATGCTCATAAAGCTTGGCACATGATCTCGGAGAATGCGTTGCTTGAGAGGTTTGGGATTTCTTGAAACCTTGCACTCGTCATAGAGACGAGAAACTTTGCCATGCGCCATTACTCATCCAGCACGCCATGACATCCTTCAGAGATCTCTCAAGCTAACTTATGCTTAAGGACTTAACAAGTTTCACCACACGAGAGACTTCAATCCGAAGCCACTCTTTCCTATCCTCATAAATCAGGGAATTCCAATACTCCCGAACAACTCTTCTTCTTGCTAGCTGATTCGCTCTTTTCTCCGCATTTTTTTGCCACGAGACTCCCTCTTTTAGCTTCAGCCTCAGCCTCAGAGGCCGCCACAGAACTGGGAACTAAATCGGGATCCCGTACCATCGCTAAAAGCGAATACCAAATCAACCTAATCAACTGGCTCCTGCAATTTGCCGATATGGATGTGCTCTGTTCCTCGGGAATTTGAATGGATGCTCCTCGCTTACATTCGGCAATTACTGCGGTGTAGTCGTCCGGCTTTATGGCCCACCGATAAAGCAACTTCGCAAGAAAATGGGAGTAATCGACTGACCTAGGTCGTATCTCCACGGCTTTGAGGGCCGATTCCTTGGCCACCGCCAAATATCGTCCTTTCTCATCCGAGTTAGCGACGAAACTCGCAAATAAAGCATATAACTCGGCATGTACGCGATAAATCTATCCTAAGTGCTGCGATTTTTCGGGGTGAGACAAACATACCTCGATAAGACGCTGGGCTTCGCGGAGATTTCCATCACGAGCCGCCTCCTTTGCTTGTTGACACAAGAACAGGGCAGAGGAGGAAGAAGATACCGGAGCCGGACAAGTCGCCGACTCTTCATCAGCAGCAGCGTCCGTGAGTTGGAGCAAGGAGAAGGAGGAGCTAGAAGCACCTCGCGATGGTTCAGCCGAGACTGACTCGGAATCGCGAGTTCCGGCCGGAGATGGGACCTCCGGAGACGAAGAAGGCGCTGGAGATGGCTGTGATAGCTTGGACGACTACTTGCGACTCATGGTTTCAAGCAATGGCGGGGAAATGTGCGTAACGAGGTTTCTGATGTGAGGGTTTCTTTCTCAGGCGAGATTTAGGATGCGCAGTGGCAGTGAAGAAGAAGGAGGAGAGGAGGAATGGTGCAAAGGTGGTGTGAGTTTGGAGGGAAAAAACCGAGCTCAGCTCGATAGTGACGTGCGTGACGTAAGTAATAGAATGTTTGTAGCACTCCTCGCATAACTAAAGTAACCGTTGCAGTGGGCCTCACATCTTAGAACAACCACACCACACCACACCACCCCTCTCCGTTTTTTTTATTATTATTTATTATTCTTTAATAACTCTTGTACGCTTGTAAACAGAGAAAATGATTCATCTCATTAAGTTGTTCATATACTTCATTTAAGTTGTCATTTTCTACCTAAAACAAAATGAAGGAGCGAGTATGGTCTAACTAGAAATCCAGACGACCAAACGCACAATCTAAAATATTTTCACATCACCCTATAAAATAATTGAACCTTGCGGATGGTGCAGCCTGCGAAAACTTGTTCCCAACCTCCGCCATGACGGTGGCTACAAGATGGAGACCGAAGAGGAGAGAAGGAACCCTAGATATTCCTCATGAATGAGACGGGGCACGCGAGGAGGAGGATCATTTTCAGGAGGATTTCATCAACGGATTGCCCGACGCCATAATCCACGAGATCTTGTCGTCCCTGAGCCTTCGGGACGTCGTCAAGTCCAGCACTCTCTCCAAGTGATGGCGTTCCGTTTCCACCTCCACTCCCTACTTCAACATCTCTCTGCCATCTCTTGACTGCCCTCGAAGTCGCGAGCAGTTTGTCTCCTCCGTTAGTCCGGCGTTGTATCATTGTACGGCACCAAGGGTGGAAGAGTTCCGCCTCGATGCTTTCTCTCTCGAAGCCTGGCATTGGGAAATCCATCCGTGGCTTCGCTTTGCCGTCAGAAAAGGCATGTGTGCTGTTTCTTTGAAGTCATCTTGCTATGATTACTTCTTACCATGGCTTATGTACGAGTGCGCTTCACTAGTGAGTTTGCAGGTGATTGGGTGTTGTCGCGACCTACCCCTCGAGAGCCGCCTCGGGAGGATAGGTTTAGAGGTACTTTACAGGATACTCCCTAAGTCCATACCTCACGAAACATTAGGTTGTCTAAATCTACTTGTTCAATAGAAGTCGCCACTAGCCATGATTAAAGGTCGGTTAAAAACCTTAAAATCGAGACGTGGGAGTATCGTCTCGATGCATACGCAAGCAGAGATTCTTAGGGATCGGAGACTTGATTACACTAGTTTTTTCAACTAATACCCTTTCGGTACCTAAACTCGACTATTTGTTAACCAACATGTCGGGACAGTCTTTTTACTAACCAAGAATTTTGAATTTTCGCCCTAACCATTCTAAAAGGGAAAAACAACAAACAATGTATTTAAAGTGCGCAATCAAATGAAAACAAAATGAAAATACACAAGCAGCAACCTAGCATCATCTCTAAAAAAAGACAATAAAAAATCCCTATGGTAAAGCCCTAAAAGCTTATTCAATTTTGGGTTCAATTTTTTATTCCAGCCTAAAGTGTTTATTAAAAGCTCCAAACTAAGAGAATTCTACATTTTTTTAGCTTTTCTCACATTTTTTTTATTTTTCTGAATTTTTTGAATTTTTTATTTTTGGGAAAATGGATTTTGGACCGGATAAGGGGAACCCAGTCCGATTTGCTAGTCTGACCCGAACCCTGAAGGTCCGGGTTGGGATCAAGTCGGGGCCAGCCATAAGGCCCAATTCGCGTTAGTCTAATTGGTTTGGGCCATTTCAACAAATCAAGCCCAAATTTCTGATTTTTCTTTAAACGATTCAAGCCTCAAACTAAAATAAACCCACATGCTCAGCCCAACTCAATAACACTATCAGCCCATGGTGCTTCCGATCCGACCCAGTTCTCAATCCAGTTCCAGATCCAACCCGGTTGCATTTTTCTTTTATATTTTTATTGTTTTCTTTTTCTTTTCTTTTCTTTTTCTTTATTTTCTGTTCCCTTTTTCAGGTCTTCTTCCCCGATGGTCTTCTTTCTCACCGAAACTTCTCCAAAAACTCATCTTTCTCACACCTTCACTGAGCTAGTGAGCTTCACCAAAAAATCTCATACCAACACTCCGACCACCACCAATCTATTCTCCGATGCTAAGTCACCGCCCGCGAATCATCCCCAGCCACTAGTCGGCCGACGATTTCTACATTGCTGGACCAACTCCGGCGAGAGATTCTCAAACTCGAAAATCGTATATATTAAACTCTATCAATTCTAGCACACACAACACGTATATACATATCAAAGAATGAGAAATGGACTGACTAGAGCGGCCTCTAACCGCGGGCAATGCTCCGGCGAAAGGGGGATGAATCTCCGTCGAAGGTTCCATTAATGGCAGACTCGAACAAACGATGCATATGCCATCAAAATCAAAGAAAAACAAAGATAACTTGATGTCAGGATCAATACTAGAACGAATCGAGCTTCCAAAGTAATGATTTTACAAAAAACAGATTTGGTGCTTCTTGTAGACATTTCGTTGAACAGTTAACATGCGATCTGAAAAACGAGAGTCCGATTTGATTCCGATATGATTCTCAATCAAGAAGTGAAGTGCAGATGCCTAAATCATGTTATTCTACAGCAAATATGCCTTATTCCATCAGATTTTCACACAAACTCGACAATCGAATCAACTTCTCCCGGCCAAAACTGTACATATACGAGAAAGAAGTCTTACCTGGTTTGGAAGCAGTGCGAAGTCTTCACGATCGTCTACGAACAGGACCGCAACGGAACTAGGCGTCTTCCGGCATGGCGTAGAAATGACGGACAACAATGGCTCGTGCGTCCGAAGCGACGAACAAAGGTATCTCGTGTGTCCGAAATGGCGATTAACGGGGATTGTTCTCCGGCGACGGTGAACGGACGATGAAAGAAGGGGAAGGGATTTGCCGGAATTCCTCTACGCGAGTAGAGGAACTGAACGTTCTCTTCTTCAAAAACCCCTCTCCCCCTCAAAACTTGTTATGTTTCCCCCCTTTTCTTCTTCAGTTGAGCGAGTATATATCTTCTCCACCGCCCCCACCGTGCATTCTCCGTCCGTCACTGTTCACGACTGCTTCGCTCACGTTGGAGAGAGAAAAGAAAACTGGGCTGGGCTGGCAATTATAAAAAAATGGGCTGAAAAAGGAGGAAACAAAAGAAAGAAAAGATTGGGCCGGAAAGAAAAAGGAATGGGCCAATGAATGAATCGGGCCCAAATGGGCCGACTTAAATCGACGATTTTTTTTTCGAAAATTTCTATTTTTATAATCTTGCAAAAGAAATGGATGCTTGCATGGTGACGAAAATTCGGGTGTCAACAACAGGTGTAAGTTCTTGCGGGTCTACGGTATCTTCCGTTGGTCATCGCTGAAGATGTTGTGCATGGAAGGCGTGAGCTTGCACGATAGCTTGATCGCGAAAATCTTGAGCGGGAGCCCTGTTCTAGAATCTCTTGTGATCCGTGGTTGCTGGAGTATGAATGAGATTGAGATAGAATCGATTACCTTGAGAGAGTTGGTGATTGATGATTATTCTGTTGATATTCGTAGATCATCCAAGTTTAAACTTTCGGCTCCTCGTTTGCTTGTGCTGCGTCTATTGGGTGGTTTGTCTTACTGGAACTTCATCACGTTAGAGGAAATATCTTCCCTGGTTGAGGTTGAGGTTGAGCTTGATCTTGTCCTGCACTTCAAATATTTCGGTTCTTATTCAAAGTACGTCGGCATGTTGCGGTATCTTCTCCATCAACTGCGTCGTGTTCCTAAAGTCACTATAGGGACCTGGTGCCTTCAGGTGCAAGTCATTTGATTGATTTTTTTTTTCTTTCCTGCCTGCATTTCAGTTTTCTCATTCCCCTTCATGATAATATGCCTTTTTTTCCCTAATGGCTGTTTTTGCTGGTACCGGGAGTATCTCATTATTTTCCTTTATGAGGAGTAAGATTAAGTCTCTTATATTACGTGACATATATATAATGCACATCTAGTTGATGCTTGGGGTGCGGTGCTTTTATATGATCATTGTTTTCTGGTCGGTTTGATGCACAGTTCATTCTTCTTCTGCTGCTCCGAGCTTTCCCATTGCTCATTATATCTTCTTCAGTAGGTCAACTTGCAAAGACTGCTCTATACTCTATTGCTTTTCTTAATTTTAAGGAATCTAATTTTCTCTTTTAGTGAAATTATTCGTTCTCGTGATCGTCGAAAAGTGCTAAAACAGTCGCATCATTCATCAGTTTTGACTATTTCTTGTATCATTCCATGATTACTCACCTGGCATTACGAAAGTACCACCTGCAGATAGCTATTTTTAATCACTTAAAACTATGGTAACCGACTTGCGATTGCAAATTAAAAAGGTGGGACTTCCCTATTAGCACATTTTTTTTTCTCTGTGAAACTAGAAGCTAAAAATTAGCCCTAACTCCATGTCTTTATGCGTCTTTATCCACGTTCCATTTTCTTTGTAGGTTCTATCAGTTATGCGGGGGAATGGACTGCTTCTTCGACTGCCTTCAACCTTAAAATGGCAGAATCTTTGTTGCGTACATCTTTTAGTAAAGTGGAGGTCCAGGGGATTGCATACTTGCTAGGAAGTTCGCCCCACTTGGAAAAGTTTATCATACACAGGACCAATATCTTTGGATTCGAGGTATGAATCGTCTTTAACTACTGCTTGTGCTTGAGTGAGGTAGTGGATTTGTTCGTATAAGGCAGCCCTAGACTTTCTCATTCCTGCTTTTTAACAAGAGAAGTAGCAGCACTGTATCCAAGTTTTTTATGCTGCATTGCCTGTTTTAGAAACTGATGGATTTTCTTTGTGAAGATGGGCCAGCCCATGATGCTAACCAGCCCATGAAAGAAAATAACTGCATTTCAGAGTTATTGTCTTAAACAAATAAGGTGAGAACACACGTAAGAATGTGTGTGCGAGTTGCATTTTTCATCATCGAAAACTCATTCTCACTAAAGGATAAAGAAGAAGGGGCTTTGTTCAACAATTCAAGAATTGTTCTCTCTCTCGAGGCTGTGATAAGTGCATTTAATCTGTGGTAAAAGAGGTATGTTCATTTCACGTAATATACTTGAACGATAGGTGATTCAAGCGTAGAATGGGCACGTTTTTCCGCAATTTTTGCATTATGTTTTAGGAATCTGTTTCCGTCATTGGTATCAGAGCCAGGTTCTTGTTTCCTGATCGTTGCAAGTGTGCATAACACGGAATATTGGCCGGAATTCGTGAAACGGCGCGACGAACGCTCGGGTACGAAACCGACACCGACCGTACTGTTCGGGATCGTTTCGAAATTCCGTGCGATAAATTTTATTTTTAAAGGCATAGGGTCGTAGTGCTCGTCGATACGAGCAAAATGACGGGTAGCACTCCGCCGGGGGACGCCGCACGCGCCCACACGTGCCGCCGCAAGAGGCGGTCTCGCCGGCACGTGCGTGGCGGTTCCTCCCCACGCGCGTGCACCGCACGCGCCATGAGGGCGTGTGCGGCGTGGCTGACGTCACGGTGACGTCAGCCATGCGGTTGCTCAACCGGGTTTTTCCGGACCCGACCCGGATCCGACTTGACCCGATAGTCCACCCGACCCGTAGACTTGACCCGTTGACCATTGACCAGCGTTGACCCGTTGACCATTGACCGGCGTTGACCCATTGACTATTGACCGGCGTTGACCGGCCGAAAAAAAAAAAAAAATTGCAGAAGGGGTAGAATGTGTTTCTTGAAATGTTGTACCTTGGATTATGAGTAATCCTTTCATTTTTTCTGCATTTGTTGCAGGAATAATGGTACGAAGATATCGAACCCCTATTATCCCTTAGAACGGCTCAAAAGAAGACGCTTGAGAAACTAAGAATCAAGTCCGGCTCTTTACCGGTGGGATGCGATGATGACATGATGACACACATCATCAAGGTCAACCAAATGATACAAGATATCATTTGGAACGGTTTCGTAATGCCAGGGTATGTGATGGTCTGAGCCCCAAATGCACCATTCCCGATGAGTTGGGAAGAATGATTGATAGGGTTTGGGACGCCTTAGAAGGTCCGAGCTATAAGATGATTGTGGAGCAATTCATGATAGAGTACATACGGGTCGGGGCAAGAAGGACGTCAACCCTTGCATTGAATCGGTCTCGGCGCAATACGTTGCCCGAATCTAGGGGTTTTCCGGGTGCCTCCATTTGGATGCCAAAGAAAATAAAATTTCCTGAGGTTTTTCATGAGTCATTTCCGGTTTATAGTAAGAAGATCACCACCTGATTGTGTTTATCTATTATTATTATTATTATTTTTCGTAAGCTCTTATGGATATGTTCACTATAGGTTGGTGTTAAATATCTTAGGTGGATGGTTCTTTTTATGTTGGTGTTTATGTTTATTTCCTATGATGGATTTGTTCCTCATGTAAATAGTTCTATAATGAATAGATGTTGACGGATATTTTCTGTTATGAATAGTATATGGTGCTATTATATTATAATATCTGTCTTATTAATATTATCTGGCTGATGTCTTATTAATATTATCTGACTGAGTGGGAGTTCTAAAAGTTTTAGTAACTTTAAAGAACGTAATTTTACCTTAATGATTACATTAACGGTAATTTCACATTAAGTTTTTTGATGATGATTGGGAACATAGTGAACTTTCGAATCTAAAGCCCATGTGAAATTATTCATTAATATAATCGCTTGTGTAAAATTGATGCATAAATGAGTGGCATTAATAATTCGTGCGTATATGTCCGAAATGTTCAGATACCATGGCTTCAAAGATCAAAGAATATAGTTGCTTGAACCGAACAAAGGAGAGAAGCTTAACGGTGATAATTATGAAATTTGGCATATGAAAATCCAATATGCGCTGGAAGAGCAAGAGGCTCTTGAAGCTCTTAACCTAGTTATGGTAGAGCCTGAAGACGGAAACACTGCACAACATAAGAGAGATAAGGATGCATTTGCTGTATGGAAGAGGAAGAACTCCCTTGCTCGCATCACGTTGCTGAGTAGCATGGAAAATGATGTCATGCGAGAGTTTAGGCGTTTTGAAAATGCTAAGGAGATGTGGGAAGCATTGGCAGCAAGGTTTGGTCATACATCTGTAACCAAGCTTAGACAGCTCACTATTAGATTTGACTCATATAAGAAGCCACATGGTCAGTCCATGAAACAACATTTAAGGAAAATGTCAAACATGATTAATGAGCTGAAGGATGCTGGTCATGTTCTGACTGATGAGCAGCAAGTGCAAGCAGTGATTCGTTCTTTGCCTCAAAGTTGGGAGCATATGAAGTTGCACCTAACTCACAATGAGAACATCAAAACCTTTGAAGATGCAATGCGCCACTTAGAGCTAGAGGAGGACCGCCTCTTGGCGGATAAGCCGGTAATTGACATTTACTATGCAGGTTCTAGCTCACAAGGGCCTTCGAGCTCTAAGCGCAAGCGTCCCGATTCGTTCGAAGGTGGAGAGGTAAGAGAGCGAGTTCTTCGGGAAGAAACCAAGAGATGAACAACACCAAAGAGGAAAGCGTCCTCATGAGAAAAAGATGTCAAGAGTGAAGTGCTACAACTGTAGCAAGAAAGGCCACATTGCTCGCGATTGTCGTGAGCCAAAGAAGGTTAATTCATCTTGTATTATTGAGAACTTTGTTTATGTATCAAGTTCTATATTTCTAACTCGAATCAAATCCTTTGTGGATGTAGATTCGTGGAGCAACACCATGTAGCGAAGGATAGAGAAGCCTTCGTAGAATTCCGACGAGTTCCAACGGGAACTAAATGGATTTATGTAGGGAACAACTCCAGAGCCGAGGTTAAAGGAATTGGCACCTGCCAGTTGATTATGCGTGGTGGACGCACTTTGTTCCTACATGATGTATTATATGCTCCGGAAATTCGTCGGAACTTAGTGTCCTGTTTTAGTGTTGATTCGACTTGGTTTTAATTTGAACTTCCATAACAGTGGTGTAGACTTGTATTTAGGTACGAGCTATTATGGTTGTGGTTATTTTCTAGATGGTTTTATTGTACTGGATGTTGATTCTGTAAATGTCAATGTTTGTTATTCCCACTTCACGTCTTCTACTTCGTGTGATAATGATGTGAACGTTTGGCATGCTAGGCTTGGCCATATAGGCCAACAACGAAAGAATAGATTAGCCAAAGAAGGCTTAATGGGCAATATTGAAAAAGTCGATTTGCCCACTTGTGAACACTGCCTAGCTGGGAAAACAACAAGGAAGCCATTTGGAAAAGGAACAAGAGCTGAATTTCCTTTGCGCTTAATCCATTCGACATTTGTGGTCCAATGAATGTGAGGGCTAGACATGGGGCATTTATTTTATCACATTTATTGATGATTATACTCGATTCGGATATGTCTATTTGATTTCTCATAAATCTGAGGCTTTTAGTTGCTTCAAGATATTTATGAACTTGGTGGAAAATCAATTAGATAAGAAAATAAAAGCATTAAGATCCGATCGAGGTCGAGAATATCTATCTGATGAGTTCAGAAATTTGTGTGATGAAAAGGGAATAGAAAGACAGTTGTCTATTCCCTATACTCCTCAACAAAATGGTGTTGCGGAAAGGAGAAACAGAACTTTACTAGAAATGGTTAGGTCCATGATGGCGCGCTAACTTACCAATCACCTTTTGGGGTGATGCTTTATTAATCGCTGCCTACATACTTAACCGTGTGCCTTCTAAATCGGTTATTTCCACTCCGTATGAGTTATGGACAAGTAGAAAACCCGTTTTGAGTTTTCTAAAACCTTGGGATTGTGCCGCTTATACACATGAATCTTCTCATAAGTATGGGAAATTAGGTCCTAGAGGTAAGAAGAGTATCTTCATAAGGTATTCGGAAACCTCAAAAGGATATGTATTTATAGGTGAGCAAGAAAGTGGGAGTATAACTGAATTTGAATCACGAGATGTCACATTCTTAGAGAATGAGTTTCCTAAGAAGGGCGAAATAGGTGAGAACTACTCACTATTTGAAACCTTGGATTCTGATAGTGAAATCGATAAAGTTCGTCCAAGTGGAAGCAATGTGAGAAGTGAGGAATTGAATTCGACTCAATCTCAATTGCAACCTTTTGATGAGACGATTTCGTCATTATCTAATCCAAGTGGGAGCATAATGGAGAATGATATACCACGTGTACAATCTCCCATACGGCGAACAAGTCGCAAAAGTATTCCCCGACGACGTTTTGACATTGAAGGGGAAACTTTCATGATCGCTCCACAAAATGAAGACGAGCCAAGGAATGTAAATGAGGCTCTAAATTGTCCTAACAAAGAAAAATGGATGATTGCAATGAAAGAAGAAATGGAGTCAATGAAGTTAAACCATGTTTGGGAACTGGTTGATCTTCCAGAAGGACGCAAAGCTATTGGGAATAAATGGGTTCTCAAAATAAAACGCAAATCCGATGGCTCAATAGAAAGATATAAGGCTCGCCTAGTGGCGAAAGGGTATAATCAACAGGAAGGAATTGATTATGAAGAAACTTTCTCTCCTGTAGTGAGATTTACCTCAATTCGCCTTATTCTCGCAATAGTGACAAGCATGGATCTTGAATTACATCAAATGGATGTAAAGACCGCTTTTCTAAATTGAGAATTAGAAGAAGAAATTTACATGGAGCAGCCAGTAGACTTCATTGTGAAAGGCCAAGAACAAAAAGTATGTCGACTTTTAAGATCGATATATGGCCTTAAGCAGTCTTCGAGACAATGGTATATACGTTTTCATAATGCCATAGTGGCGTTTGATTTTACAATGATTGATGAAGATCATTGTGTGTATATCAAAAGATCCAAAGATCAATTTGTGATTTTATCATTATATGTTGATGATATACTAATTGCCGGAAGCAATATGGAGTTGGTTACTACTATTAAGAGTTGGTTATCGTCCAATTTTGAGATGAAAGATATGGGTGAGGCTGCATATATTCTTGGAGTTAAGATTTCAAGAGATCGTTCCAAGATATTATTGTCTCTTTCGCAAGAGACTTATATAAATAAAGTTCTTGAACGATTTTGTATGCAAGACAGTAAACCCATGGATACTCCTATTGCAAAAGGTGAAGGATTGAGCCATAGGTTGTGTCCTAAGACTCCACAAGAGAAGGAACAAATGAAACGTGTTCCTTATGCTAGTGCTATTGGAAGTTTAATGTACGCTATGATGTGTACAAGACCTGACATATGTTTTGCAGTTGAGATGGTAAGTAGGTACCAATCCAATCCAGGTCAAGCACATTGGAAAGCCGTAAAAAGAATAATGAGGTATCTAAAGGGTACTGCTAATTATTCACTGAGTTATCAAGGTAAGGATCTGCGACTTGAAGGCTACTCAGATGCTGATTGGGGAGGAGATTTAGATGAAAGGAAATCTACCTCTGGTTTTGTTTACTTATCCGAATAATGGCGCCATATCTTGGAGCAAGAAGAAACAAACATGTATAGCATTGTCCACGATGGAAGCCGAGTTCGTGGCGTTGTCGGAGCAAGACAAGAAGGTGTTTGGCTTAAGAGATTTTTGGATCATTTAGGTGTTGCTAAGAATGCGAAAACTCATTGTTAGTCAATAGTGATAGTCAAGCAACGATAGCATACACCAAGGATCCGAAATATCATGGCAAGACCAAACATATAGATACCAAGTATAACTTTGTCAAGGATATGGTTGCACGAAAAGATGTGAACTTGCAGTACATATCTACGCATAGAATGATAGCAGATCCTATGACGAAGCCAATTC